TTAAAGTAGAAATAAATCTGAATCTAAGAAAATTAAGAATTGTGAAGAACATCACGAGTTGGCGTTTCGTCCCGGCTTCCACTACTGGACTCATCAGTAAGGTAATGTAGTGGGAGCCTACCTTAGACGCCTGGGAGAGATGTTAGAAAGAAGTTCTATATAAACAAATAATCATGTAATTCGGCACTTGCGAGAATTGACACGATTAACTATAGACCTCTGTTGGCGAGTCGACGTAGTGATATTCTTCACAAATTTCTTTATTTAAATAAATAATTTTTAAAGTAACAAACGCATTTTTGCAGCCAGCGTATATTCAACAAATCAATTAAAGAAGACTCTCTAATAATTGAATAATAATTGAATAATAAGTACACGTTTGGTCGTTGTTATACTAGTCTTTTCAAGTAAAGCAGTTGAATTACAATTACATGTATGTGTTACACGTACGATTGAAAAATACATGTATGTGTCACACGTACGTCTGAATATAACTGAAACGTACACTTTTCGGGACTCGGTCTCTAGATCTCGATATCGGCTGCACCAATTTTATTCGGACTGGTCGCAATCGAAAGATACCGATGACATTATATAATAAAAGTGTTTTTAGATTTTTGATTGTGCTTTTAAATTCTGAGTAATTTTAATCTAAAGTTTCAAGATGTGAAAACTCGAGATAAAGCTAATGGTAGCGTCGTGAATTTGACATCGACATGAACATATACACGCATCAAGTATCATGTCATCATGTCAAACGGTTATATTTTTATTTTATGCACTTGGCGTCGCGACGCTACCGCGTCGCTTGATTCACAAAGTTTTATTAAAATCAGAATTTGACATCTCGAAAGGTTCTCTTGTAAGTCATTTAATTTACTGCACACCGCTCAAAAATGCTATTCTTGATGGTATACATACAAAATATAAGGATATTTTGGACTTGGAAGTCAGTAAATCCAAACTCTACATCTTGGTATCGATTTCACATCCAAAATTTAAATTGAGATGTACTGAATAGTATCAATAACGAATACAACATATTAGTAAAAATTGTATTTTTATGCGAATATAAAAAGTTATATCAATGGGAAATAGGCACAAATGAAAAGAAGAACTCTTTAACGAGTAATAATGATGAAAATTTCTTTCTTAGCTTCACTAAGAATTCCAATGGAAATAATTCAATAGTAAAGCAAAACGTTGTACAAATAGAATGTTTACGGTACTTTAAAGATAAAAGCAAGGCTGTTACTTAATTATAATGCAATTCAAAAAGTATTTATAATACTAAAATATAAAATAAAAAACTAAAAAGACAAATGAAGAGTCAAACATTAAAATTTCTTTAATTGCGTAGAGTGAAAAGATAAAATGAAATAACATAAAATGACAAGAAAGCGAGAATAAATTCGAAGATATGAAAAATACATCTGGAGACGCGGTAGTGTGTTTCGGCGCTAAGCCAAGCGCGCGACACTGCCGTGCCTCCTTTACGCGAAACTTAGAATTTTTCGGGGTCGAGATGATCAGATCTCAGTAACGGCTGAACCGATCAAGTTCTACATACGCTCAATTGACAGGAAATACTTAAATTGTATGATAAAAGTGCATTCATTTTTTTTCTACGTGCCCTATGAGCGGAGATATTGCGACGCAAAGTCCGAATCTGTGAATTTTCATGTTTCATTTTTAAGATACGTCGTCGTTATCAACGTCGCCGACCAGAAAAATGTACGTCTCGTTTTTTCGATAATAGAGGGCCTTTGACTTTATGTGTTATCTCACTCTATCTATCTATCATCTCACTCTATCTATCAATATCTAACCAGCAGACCAGTGTTGCATGCTGTATCACATATGACACGCGCGCGTTTTAACTCTTATAATTAAAAATATTATTCAATATAATATAAAATATTTATTATTATATACAGGGTGGCCCATTTTAATCGATCCACCCAAATATCTCCAAAAGTAAGCACTGTATCAAAAAATTGTTCAAACAAAAGTTGTTCAGGACAACGGGGGCCATCTTTGTGCAGTATTAGTTTTGACCTTGAACTCAATTTTCAAGGTTATTTGAAGGTCAACCTAACTTTTTTAAATGGACACCCCTATTTTTGATACCGGATTCGGAAAGAGCGGGAAATTTTACGTCCGAAATGATATTTTGTAATTTAATAGATTGACCTTCAGAAGGTCAAATATTAAAAAATCGTCCAGAAGTTGTTTTCTTTGAGCATCAGAGGATTTATAGGCGAATAAATGTTTGAGTGGACTTGGAAGTCAACGACCTTGACTATTTTGACTTTGTGGCAAACTTTCAAGGTCATTCGAAGGTCAATATAAATTTTTTGATGAATATCTTACTTTTAGCGTTACCCAAAAACAACGACGTGGACGTAGTAAGTTCTGTTTTCTTTGGGGTGCTTGTTTACCGTGAGTCCCCTTGCCTCTCACGATTGGGGTGCTTTATTACTGTCAGTCCCCTTGCCTCTGACTTCCACTTTATTGAAGCAAATGTTCAAAATTGCCTCCATCAACTTCAAGACACAAATTTACACGCCTTTGAAAATGTTGCACTGCCCTTAGCAAAGTATCCCTTGGGATTACTGCGCAAGCGCGACGAATACGGCCTATCATGTCTTCTCTGGTTGTTGGTCGTTGTTTAAAAACAGCATCTTTTAAGAAGCCCCATAAATAGAAATCCGGAGGTGATATGTCTGGTGAACACGGAGGCCAGTTAACTGGACCTCCTCGTCCAATCCACCTGTCATTATAATTATTATTCAGACAATCACGTACTATTCGCGCAAAATGGGGTGCAGCACCATCTTGTTGTAACCACATTCTCTGACGTGTCTCCAAATCTACATTCTCCAAGAGCTCTGGTAGTCGTTCCCTAAGTAATTCTAAGTAGCTAAATCTATCGACATTTTCCTCAAAAACATAAGGTCCAATAAGGTATCCATTAATTATGCCACACCAAACCATAATGCTCCATCGATGTTGATGGTCAACAGTCCTATGCCAGTGGGGATTTACTTCAGACCAGTAGTGACAATTGTGCCTGTTAAGCTGACCTTGACTGTTAAATGTAGCCTCATCAGAAAACATTACGTACCTAAAAAAGTCAGGATTATTTTCTGTCATTCTTAAAGCCCACCGGCAAAACTCAATACGCATTTGAACGTGATTTGGTCTTAATTCCTGAACTAAGGTGATGTGGTAAGCGTGATACTTCAGCTTTTTCAGAATTCGTAAAGCCGTTGTTCGTGGTATACCAATTTCCCTTTCAATTATGCGACTGCTAGTGTGAGGATCGAGATGAATAGCTGCAAGGACAGTTACAACATGAGAATCATTCTCGTCGTATTCGCGGTGTCTGCGTTGACGAGAAAGATGTCCATCGCGGGCTCTTTCAGTTAATCGGCGTATTGTCGTGTGATTAGGGAATCTCCTTAAAGGAAAGCGTTCAGCGTACAGCCGTGCCGCTGCACGATAATTGTTTTGACATTCTCCTACAATCATAGTCATATCAAAGATATGATTAGGAGGATATTCAGCCATAATGAACAATTTTAATCAAAATAGTAATGTTGTAATCTCTATTTCAATTTCCATAAAATTAAAACAAACAAATCTCGACAAGAATGAAACTGAAAAAATAACATTGAACAAATATTGGAATCGTCTAAAAAAATTGCATTGGATAGTGAAAGTTATTAAATTTTAAATTTAAAGGCACACGATTTGTAGGGCCGTAGGCTATCTGGTTATACAGGTCTGATGAAATGCGGGCAGGTCATTCTTTTGCGCGAGACGGAGACTTGCTAAGCTAACGAGAGAAATAAACAAATTATGACTGAAACTATGACTGAAATTATTTAAGTTATTTATATATTTTGCAGGTACACAATTTAAAGGTAATTGATCAAAATGGTGTTCAATTGGGAGGAGCAAATACCGTAAAGATACTAGATGATCAACGGACAATTGACACAAAATACAATGTACTTAACAATAGCCACTATATATTAAACGATAATAATATGAAGATATTAGATCCGAGTACATTGAAAGTTCTTGATGCTAGTGCTACAATCTTGGACTTACATTAGACGAGGCCAGTATACATTATCCCAACTTTATGTCTGATTTCACTCAGACTAACTCGAACATGTACTTGAATACCTTATTATGTATGCCAAAGTTAATTTTTTATATATAAGAATTCTTTTAAAATCAATACTCATCTTTGGTGACTTATTTTTAAAATATAAAAAACTGTTATAGTTTGATCTCTAACCTAGTTCAAGGTTTTGGAATGTAAGTTAACCAGTTTTCAATCACGTATATCTTCATATGTATACGTTTACAAATTATTATTCCAATTAATAATTAATATTGTAAGAAAGGATTGTTCTGATAATCAATTTCGTAATAACATTACACCAAAAAAATTTATTACGTTTATTAGTATCCTATTTGATTATACGTATATAATACTAACTCGAACATGTACTTGAATAAATTCATTTCCATTTCATTATCTTTCAATAATAAAATGTATTACGTTAAAATAGTTTGTTATAAGAATTTTAAAATTAATATTGATATCTTAAGGGTCTTTAAAATATAAAAAAAACGTTATAGTTTGATCTCTCACCTAGAACACTGTATTTGATTCAAAATTTTGAAGTGTATGTTAAACATGTGATACTATCTTTATTCTAATTTTTGTTTGAACATCCGGTTTTGAGTTGGTTATACCAAGTTAAGTTCTATTTTTGAAAACCCATGTAAAAAACCATACTATTATCTAAATTCTACTAAATTAAAAAGTAAAACCCATTTGGTACTATCTTTATAAACTTACCTTTTTTTAAAAAGAATGGTAAAAGAAGCGCTAAGAGTGGGTGCTGCTTGTCAAAGAACCATTTGGGCCAGTTTCATCAACGTCAATTACTTCGGGTGCTTTCCGATTTGCTGACAGTGCCACTACTGAAATCACTACATTTTAGCCGGTCCGAAATTCGCAGTAGAACTGACAGCAGTTAAAATTGGAACGCATTTACAGTAATAGTGCGTGGACATGTATAGAACTTAACCTAATTTATTAAATTTCATAGGATTCTAATATTTCTAATGTAATTCTGTTTCCGTGTTTGTTTCTGCAATTTATGAGTACTAGTTTTAACTAAAAGAAGAAAATTCCGTTATTGTGTAACGGCAATTGTAATACCGAATTTGATTGGCATTCAGAATGTCATATCTAATATCATATGTGTGGAATATAGTTCCGACAGTTTTTCAGATGATGACGATGAGTATATTTTAAATATCTTAAATCAAATTTCGAAACGAGGATTATTGATACCAAGAGCACGTATGAAAAATTACATTGCACAAGAACTGCCTTAAAATTATAAGTCACGTTTCTGCTAAGGGCCTTATGTATACCTATATGCCAGTAGCCGTATGCATTACTGAACTTGCACTACCTTATGAAATTGTGCAAAATCAGTCGGAAGTCAGTAATTCCCTAGGACCTACTTTCTTGAAAAAGATAGTAGTTACAGCAGATCTGAAACGTGCCTGAAACGATTTTGGAACGAGAAAACAGTATTGTCAGTACTGTCAGCAAATTTCAGATCGCACCCTTAATCGACTGCGAAACTGACCAATCACATTTGCTGTTTAGTAGAACAATCTTTAAAAACCTACATGATATTATCCTTATTTACTTAATTCTAATGACATGTATCATTTGTATAAAAGATTTAATATCAATAGTCGGCGCCAAATTATTCTACCTTATTACTTACTTAATTTTAATGACATTTATCATTTGTATAATACATTTGATATCAATGGTCGGCGCCAAGTTAAATTCGAATCTTTAAAAACCTACGTGGTATTATGCTTATTATTTACTTAAATCAATGACATGTACTATTTGTATAAAAGATTTGATATCAATAGTCGGCGCCAAGTTATTCTACCTTATTACTTACTTAATTTTAATGACATTTATCACTTGTATACAAGATTTGATATCAACAGTCGGCGCCAAGTTAAATTCTACCAAATTAAAAAGTAAAACACAAGTGGTACCTTTAATCTTTAAGAACCAATATAGTACTATTATTTAAATTCTACTAAATTAAAAAGTAAAACCCATGTGGTACTATCTTTATCTTCATACAATAAAACCTAAGTATACGCCTTTTTATTCTTATTAAAAGATCTTCCTATTCGAAACCAAGTGACTTAATTCTTCTTGAAAAAAATTATATCACAATTAACTTAAAAAAAAAATGAAGAAAATTTATTTAAATAGAAAAATCCTTTTCGGAAGTACACCCCTACATTTAATTAACAAATATACAGCTTACTTTTCTTTTTTTATGCATTTCACTCGCATATACTGTACGCGAATATACATACAGACTGTATACTTTAACTCTCGTAGTTTCTAATCTCTTTTATACAAAATGTTACATCCATATATAATTTTATTATGACGTTATTATATTGGGATTGAGGTACAAATCACTCGCACATACATATACACGAATATATACACACTAAATACTTTAATTCTCTTGAAAATGTTTTTGTATTATTGTATTTTATTACATCAAGATCGACGACTAGCAGCGCGAAGTGTTTTTACATAAAAAATTTTTCTATTTAAATAAATTTTCTTCATCTTGTTTTTAAATTAATTGTGATATAATTTTTTTAAAGAAGAATGTAGCGATGCGCTTTGTGTACGCGGTTACGTCTACCCGCTACTGGTAGGTGTACGAGGAGTCACCGGCCGGCCGTCGCTGTTGGCCTCTGTCGGTGCGGCGTCAGGGATCGCAAGAGAGAGGTTGAAGTCGTGACTCTGTATTTATGTACAAGGTTTATTACAGCTATGCACAGTTATATACACTTAGTTGGACTTAGGTATTTTGTTGTGGCCCTGAAAAGGGCCGTTTGGTTTCCCCCTCACTTAGAGGGACTGCGCTCCTTGTATGTGAGCGGCGGCTGCGTGCTTGTCCACCGGGTGGTCCGACACTTCGCGGTGACTCGCTCTCGGTAGATGAGCGAGGGCTGCGTCCGAGTCTTCTTTTCCGGGCCCCAGTAGTTTCCGTTGATGTCCTCGGATTGGCGGCTCGTCGCTTTCTGGCTGGGGGCCTCCCACTCTGAACCAGAGGACCGCTCCTGAGGCCTCGCCGGTGGAGACGCCCGTTGATACCTCGGCGAGGTGTACCGGCGTACCCGCAGGTCCCACGGGTGTAGGCAATACACTCGGTGGCCTGGTCCTAACAGGCGGCGGGATGTCTAGCCGCTCTAGCTTCCAGGTGGCTAGCTGGAGGGTCACCTTTCGCGCGGCGGTCGATGGCGGTCTTTGCGGAGCGGCCAGCGGTGTCGGGGGAGTCGTCGGCAGTGTCGGCGACCCTGGCGGAGGCTGCGGTGTATGCCCCCTTGGATGTTGCCGCCTTGGCTGGCGCCGGAACAGTCCTGCGGCCTCTACCGGCCGAATCCTGGGGGCCGTCACTTGTAGTTGTCGGCGGCGCAGGAGCTGCTGGCGTAGACGCTGAATGAGCGAGGTCCCTCTCTGGCGGGCTGGTGGCTGCGGTGGCTGCTGCGGTGGCTGCGATGGCCTCTGCTGTGGAGGCTGCGCTAGCCGCTGTGGCTGCTGCGGCGGCGGCGGCTGCTGCTGCGGAGGCTGCGACGTCTGCCGCGGCGGAGGCCGCGGGGGCTGCTGCGGCGGAGGCTGCGGTGGCTGCTGCGGCGGAGGCTGCGGTGGCTGCTGCTGGTGAGGCTGCGGTGGCGGCTGTAGCTACAATGACTGCGCTTTGTCAAGAGACCGTAGCTGAGGTAAAAACATGCCTGGAGGTATAGCCCTGCATGCCGCAGCTCGGTGCCGGTTGATCGGTTCGGCGCCTTATCTATAAGGGCCTTGGACCGATTCTTCGCACGCGATAACATTATCGGCGCTAGCCCTCTGTTGGGCGTACCGCGGTAGTTGCGCGTCGCGCAGTACTTGCACGCGGTCGCGTGCTACGGGCGCTTGTATGGTCGAGTGCTACAGGCGCTTGGATGTTCCCACCGAGCGCTTGACGAAAGGTAGCTGCTCGGTGGGTTTTCGTTAGTGCGACTGATAAGAGTCGCCACAGGCCCCCCTTGGTAGTAACGGAGTTGGAGTGTTATTGTGCGAAGCGCACTCTTGGTTTAGTTGCCCGCTTGCAGGTCGTTGTGGCTAGCTGTGTCTCCGCAGGGCTGGCTTGCTCCGTGGCGTCCTCGATTGTGTACGCTGGTTTCAGGCGGTCTATGGACACGTTCATTGGCTGTCCTTTTATGCGGATCTTGTATGTTTTCTCCTGTCGCTCTAATACTTCGTATGGGCCGTCATATGGTGCTTGGAGTGCGCCTCTTGGAGCGTCGTTACTGAGCGTCGCTCAGGAATTGTCCAGGTAATCTGATGGGCTCCTCGAAGACCAGCTCTGCGGACGTGGCCTCTAGGTCATCTCGCCAGGCGGCTCTTAGTCCCATCAGGATGACGGGGAGAACTT